AACAAAAAAAAAAAAAAAAAATCAGCCCAAAACAAAAACAAATAATTACTTCATCAAACATTTCACTTGTCCTCTAGCTGTTACCAGAACTAGTAGATGCTACCATTACACCACAAGGGGGCACAGGCAGATTACATCTCAACACCCTTCCTGAACAGCTGATAATTCCTAAAAGCTCTCTCTCACCCCCCAGGTCTCTCATCCTTCTGTCTTATCCTCCACTGCAGTTACCGTCCCCAAGGCCCCCACAGAAAGATTCTCAAACGGAGAAAATTGGGCAGTTGGGAGTGACGTGCAAACTAGCTAGGGCATAGGGGCTCAGAGACAGGGCTGATCTTTCTCTCTCCGGACGGTCTATGCCGGCATTGCTGCTTTGTTCCCTGAGGAAAACAGCAATTGAAACAGACTATCACAACTGTGAGGAAAACCATATCAGCTACTAAAACAACACAGAGACCTTCACTCATAAATATTAATACAGAATCATGGATCAGACATTTGAAAAAACTGATAGCATTAAGAGAAAAAAAAAAAGAAAGAAAGAAAAAGCAAGGCCAAGATTTAAAAAAAATGGGCAGGGACAACAATTCAAAAGATGGGAAATATCTTTTAAAAAGTTATAACACATCAGATTAATATATATCTGTAAAATAACAAAGCAAAAATTAAGCTTATTAGAACTTTAAAAAAATAAGGTCTGAAATAAAATCTCAATGGCTGGAGTAATAAAACTGATTCACAGTTTGGTGATATGCAAGATAAAAGAGAATATTGAGAATTTAGAACACAAAGTAAACCTATAGCAATACTCCAAAGGGAAAACATTTTTAAAAAGAAGTTCCAGAACATGAAGAAAAGAAGAGAACAATAAAAATACACAAGGATCTCTACAAAGTAATATAGATTATGTTATAATCTGGTTTCTGGGCAAAAACTAAACACCAGGATTCAGAGTATCTACTTTTTATGTGCTATTTTTATAAAAAGTTACTTAAAATATGTAACACAGGAAAGATGAAGGAAACCTCCCAAAGAGGAAAACATGAGAGATAAGGCATACAGTACAAATTGTGGTATCTTGGCTCATGGACTAAATTCTCTCCATGATTTTGGTTGCAGAAGAACTACCAGCACAAACATTTAACAGTGGTTCTCGCTAAGAAATAAAACTAGCAATAAAGGAAGATATTTTCTCATTTTGTAGCTTTTTCTACAGGTTGAGTTAAAAAAAAGAAAAACAAAAGAAGTTCAGACATTCTGTAACTTCTGAAATGGAAACACATAGGCCATATATTGCTTTAAAAATCAAGCTGCAGAAGTATACGTGTGTGCGAGTATGTACGTATACATATATACACACATATATAAATCTGTGTGCATGTATTTATATATATATATGAATAAATCCAAACTATTAGTTGTTAATGCATACATCTCTGAATGAGGGATTATAAAGAGAGAATGAATTTTTTTAAACTGTACTTTCATTTAAAAAAAAGACACATTCCTGTGCTATCTTCCACACCGTAACTAGTGACAGCGGATAAATGACAGATGCCCAAGAGATCTCTTATGTGAAACGGAACATGTAACAGCAGAAAGTCAATCAGACATAGATAAGTATTTTTTTAAAAATTGCAGTTCTCAAATATGGTAAGGGGAAAAGATGCCACTGTGTAACAGTTCATATGATTGGCCTTCCTTCAACTTAAGATTAATTATGAGGTAATCAAGTATGAGAAAAACTGGGCAGCAAAGAAAAATTAGAAAAGTAGAACTAGAAGAATTCTACTGAGGCTCTCCACTCCCCAAGCCTCAGAATCTCCAGAAGCACAATTTTTTTTGCAGCACTGGAAATTGAACTGAGGTCTCTGTGCTTGCCAGGCAGGCAGTGCCACCCATAAGCCAAATCCCTGGCCCTAGGAGCCAAGGGATTTACAGTACCTCCAATCCTAGGCGAATAGCTGCTTCTGTAAAGCTTCGTCTTTCTCGTTCAAAATTCTTTTTTTGCTCTTTAAAAAGGGACCATTCTTCTTTAAGGCGTTCTTTTTCTTCCAACAAATAACAGTCCCGTAATAGAGAAGTGGTATCGTCATCACATGCAGTAGCAAGCTGCTGCTATTAAATTTAAAGCATAGTAAGTTTCGGGGGATTCCTGCAACATACTCCAAGTTGAAAGCAAGAGAAAGGTGGGTTAAACTAGACAGCAAGGACAGAAATCATGAAGAGTCACAAAAGCAAATGAGGAATCTCTTTTCTCAAATGCTGCTACTCCATTTGCAAAGCATGAACTATTTAGGGAGTGATATGCAATGCATTTGCTAGCAACTAACTCAGCTTAGTTGTGGAAAATGTCCAGTACATAGACCTTATGATACTAAAGGAATAAATATCTAGTGAGATTTAGTAAAATGCTGGCCTTTCAGAGGGTGGAACAGCTTTAAAGGGTAATTCACATTTACCTGTAAAAGTTGCTGCTGTGTTTTAATCATTTCTTTACACTGTTGAATTTCTAACTCCAGTTTCTCAGTTTCTTGTTCATGGTCTTGTCGTGATATGACATCTTCATCGTTAAAACCTTCTAAGTGTACCTTTGAAACTAACCCAAAGTCAGTAAGTTGACATGTTCTACAGTCACCATTACTTTTTGAACATACTTAAAAATCAAGGCTCTAGAATTTTTGTAGCATCTCATAGGTTTTGTAAAAGGTTTTGTAAAAGGTGTTTTTTCCTTTCCATAAGCTATGATAAAATTTTATTATTTTTAACAGGCAAAATGGTTTTAAAAGCAAAGCAATTATAAGTTCACAGTAACTATAAATTTATATGCTTTGGGGAATAAACAATATCATTAAAAATAGAGCTCTACTACCAAAATTTAATTTGCAATTCATATGTATTCAAGACTATGCCTGGATTAAAAAGACATTTTGGCTACTTTCACAGAAGAATGTTAACAAAAATTCATAAATTATGTTTTTGTTGCTACTTCTTCAAAAATCAACGCAGTACTACAAATTTGGCTCTCTCATACTGCACTTAACAAATACCACATCCAGACATACTTGCTATTTTACTAACACGATGATTAAAATGAGTAAAATCACATGTAAATTAACACTGGGACTCTAACAATAATAATTTCTGCTGACTGCTCTTTACTAGTTAAAACAATGGCAATGAGTTCATTATTTTAACAATATCAAATAAACATTCTTTTTTATTGAGTTTATTGGTACATTTTAGGTATACAGTAGTTACATTCATTCCTGGGATCTTGTATCTTTACATGACAAGTCTTGGTTCTCATTTTTTCCTCTTACCCCTGCCCTCCCTTTACTCCCTCCTCCCCTCCCCATTTATAAACACTTTATTTTCATTATCTCATATATTTTTCTTTTCCCTTATTACCTTTCCCCTACCCTTCCCACTTTCCCTACACCTTTAGCCCTTTTCTTCCTATTTCACATTGTCTGTTATCATATTAGGATCTTATGTACTATTATAGTTTATTCACACCAGAGAAACTATTTGGTATTTACACATGTGTGACTTATTTATTTCACTTAGGAGTATATCCTCAATATGTATCCATTTTCCTATGAATGAGTCTAATTTCTCATTCTTTATGGCTGGCTGAGTAGTATTCCATTTTATAGAAAAACCACATTCAAATAAATTTTCTCTAAATAAATTTAATTTACTGGGCAGAAATCTTAATTTTACTGATTAAGAAACATGAAAGCTTTATTTAATAAATACAAAATACTAGGATATATTCACTAACACAGATCTAGCTATAAGGAGGGGATGATAAGCTTTATTTAATAAATACAAAATACTAGGATATATTCACTAACACAGATCTAGCTATAAGGGCAGGGGATGATTTCTAATACAATGTTAAGTGAAAAAAGGAGACTGAATAAAATAGATGTATGAGATAATTTTAGCTTTTCTATGTTTAAATAAACATTTCACAAATTCATACGGAAAAGGCTAAAAAGATACACAGCAAACTAAGTGTTTACATACAGGGAATGGGTATCTAAATATTCTACTTTATATACTTTACTTATGCAACGAATATCTTATTATTTCAAAAAATTTTAATTAATTATTTGGAACCTAGTAATATACAAGTGTGTGGAAATGGGAAAGGTTCACCTTTATACCATATGGTAATGTCTTCAGTTTCAAGATTTATTAAAAGATCTGTTCTCTTTAATTAATTATATGCTGCATTCACAGCAGATGGATATATGACATCCTTTTTTCACAAAAATAGTGTAAGAGCAAAGTGTATTGTTCTTATTCAAGTTCAAATCTCATGGTAAAAACTGAAGAAAAACTTGGTTTCAAAACACCAGACTAAGCTACAAATTTCAGGTCTGAGCCCACACTGTGGCTTTCCAACAGGTTACTGTTACAACTTACTTCACAGGCAATAAGACAATAGTTACCTTGGTTGTCAAGTTTTTCTACGTGACTTTTCAAAATTCTCCACTGTTTTCTGATGCTGTTAGTAAGTTGCTCTCTTACAGTTTCACAAGAAAGGTCCCACATGCTTTCTCTACTCAGTTCCCCGGCATCTTCTTCAACATCAGAGATAACCTACAAATGAAGAGAAAAGTAAAAACCAGTATCTTGAAATAGCTTCATGGCCAGATGGTAGTCATTAAATTATCATTCTTACCAAAATCATTTCTGTACTGTATCTCCCTACTACACAATCCAGTATTTTAATTATCTTGAGAAAAAGTAACTAATATTGAAGATAGAAACTTGCTAATTCCAATCTCTTGAAACCTGAATTTGAATACAAGTGGTTAGTGACAAAATCATGGAGCTGTGTGTGGTATATTCATTATCTGTCTAATGCTAGGTCAGATTGTTATGGTTTACCAGATGCCCCCCAAGGGCCTCATATACTCAGGTGGGGCTTTTGGAAGAGAACTGGACCATGGGGTGCTATGGCTGACTTTGGTTAAGGACCTGGGGCCTTGTTGGGAGAGGCAGGTCACTAAGAGTGTGTCTAGCTCCTCAGCTCCTCCTCTCTCTGCTTCCTTGGCCACCATGACACGAGCAGCTTGCCTTCATTGTGATTCTGGTTCTCATCAATCCAGCTTCAGGAGATATTTGCCACTAACTCTCCCAGGGAACCACACATTCTCTTCTATACATCTTAAAGTCTATCAGAATGTAGGCCGAGTATTCCTTATCTGAAAAGCTTGGGGCTTGAAGTGTCTCCAATTTTTTCAGATTTTACAATATTTGCATATACTGAGATATCTTACGGATGGGGCACAAGTTGAAACACAGAATTCATGTGCTTCATATATACCTTATACTTACAGCCTGAAGGTAATTTTTTTGTTTTGTTTTTGAGATGGGTCTTGCCATGTAGTTCAGGCTGGCTGTGAACTACGCAGCCCAGGTTGACCTTGAACTTGTGGCAATCCTTCTGCCTCAGCCTCCTGAGTGTTGGGATTAAAGGTGTGTACCACCACCTGAAGGTGGAAGCCTGAAATTAATTCTGAGTCTGTGTTTTGACTGCACTTGTCATATGAGGTCAGTCAGAGGTGGAATTTTCTATGTGTAGCATCATGTTGGTACTCAGTTTCAAAGTTTTATAGCACTTTAGATTTTAAATATGCCGTTTAGGGATGGTCAACTTATACAACATATCTGTTTATAAAAAAAGCTAATAATACTTATTTCATGTTTTCCTGATTGAATAAAACTCTATCACCATAAGATGAAAATAAAAAATTCATGTAACATGAATTTGAATCTGCATTTTGGCTACACATAAGCAAGCCAAAGAATGACTAAATCATGGAGGCTACCTAGGCAATCCAAGGTCACATCTTACTCTCTCTGCTATAATGCTCTAAAATCTTTCCTTCAAAGAAATGAAGAGTTGAATTAAATTTTAAGAGAAAAATTAGCTAGAAAATGGATATGTAAAAACAGAAAACACACTTAAGAGATGATTTCTCCAAACCTAAATATCTGAATTATGAAGAATTATACAGACTACTCATAGGCTGACTGCAAGAGGTGGCTGATCGGGTAAGAGAGATCTCGATTTATTACCCACTTTTGCTAACTGAAGCTGGAAACAAAAGGTAGTAAAGGAAGGGCTAAAAACTAAGGAAGTCTCCCAAGTAATGTAAATCATGCTAACCCTGAAGACATTTTTAGCGAAAGTTAAGAACTGACTCAAAAGTGACAAGACTGAAAGAATTAATCTGTAACTAATATATAAACTAAATTTTCTCATAGATAGATATGGAAAAATAAAGTCAAATAAGATTTTAAATAGCACCATATACACAGGATTCATATACACTTCTGTGTTTAGGCAGCCGGCGGAGGGGTGTCTTGGAATACATAACCAAAGTGATAAAGGAGACGACTGCTTTCAAATAGCATTTAAAAAAAAAAATTTTTTTTTTTTCTGCAAGATAGAATTAGACAGACCAGTTCTGCTATGCATCACACTGGGCTCGTTAACTATTGTGCCTGTTTCTTCATCTACAAAATGGGGATAATTATACTACCTACAAATCAGATTATTAAAATGTTTGAAGAAATTTGTCATGTAAGAAATAATATGAAATAAATGCTTATAACGTGTTTATCACTGTGCTTGCTTGGCACGGATTAAGTCCTCAGAAGATCGTCTCCATTGTTTCCCACGGTGTGTTTGGAAACATAGAGGACATTTTGTTGTTCCAGTGACTGAAAATAGCATAGCAGTGACTGTCCTCTTCAAAACACCAGTAGTGTGCTCTCTGCACACACCTATCTGTGCCTCAGTTGTTCAATGATCTGAAGGTTGTACTAGAGAGAAAAGGCTACTTACAGCTCCTGTACTGTCATCTGCTCTTTCTCTAGGTTTCTTCTTTTGGGGAGAAAGAAGAGAAATCATTTCCTTTTTCATTTGCTGAAGAACCTTCTTAAGTTCAGCGTTTTCCATTAGGATTTGTTTCTGACGGTATTCATAATCATTTAAGAGAATTTTATACATTTCATCTTCGTTCCTGAGAAAGAAACTGTCATCATGGGACTGCAGTGGACAAAGCCAGTCTGACCACTGATTCAGTGTTGTAGACTCTACCTGGCTTCTGTTTTACCAGTCCTCCAGGAGCCCCGTTTTCCATCCACTCTGCCCACGTAGTTTAAAATGTCCATGGCTGCAAGTGAACACACAAAACAAACTCTTACCACAATATTTAAAAATCTAAAGTACTTTACACATACTAGGGTTGTGAATCAATCTGGTAGATAGGCTACCATGTGGGACCAAAAGGCCTGATTTCAAGTTATAATTCAACTGCTTGTAAGCACCAAGAGATCTTGGCGAACTTATATAATTCTAAGCTTATTTTTTATTGGTACTGTGGGAAGAACATGATATCCACCCCAAAAGTTGTTAAGATGGAAAGAAATAAGGTTAAAACACTTAACACAGGAGAGTGAACACAGTGAGTGACACACAGTATTTAATAAATGTTGCTTTATCACTTGAATTTCACCATCAGTGGTTGGCAAACTGCAGACTGCAGGCCAACTACCTAATTTTGTAAATAAAGCTTTACTGGAACACAGCCACATCCCTCTGTGTATGTACCATCTAAGGACACTTCTCTATAATAGCAGAGGCAGTAAGTATAAAAAACACTTGCAGATCGCACAAAGCCAAGCATGTTTACTACTTGGACCTTTACAGAAAAGGTTTACCATGTTCTATCTATCAACATCATCACCATCATCATCTTCAAAGAAGTCAAGCCCCTGCCAACAGTAAAGTCTCTCTGCCATAGGAAGGGATGAACCCATTTGGAATAAGAAGGAAACAGGATGAGGATAAGTTTAATCATAGTGTTAATAAAATCATAAAAATGTCACTGAGATTCCACCTCACCCCACAAAGAAGGGCTGCTATCAAGAAATCAATCATAACAAATGTTGGCGGGGCTGTGGGGAGAAAGAACCCTTCTCCATTGGTGGTGGGAGTGCAGACTGGTGCAACTGCTATGGAAATCAATATGGAGATACCTCAAAGAGCTGGGACTAGAGGTTCCATTTGACCCAGCCATCTCTCTGCTGGGTATCTTTCAAGAGAATTAAAGGAATCATACCCCAGTGATACAAGCGCACCAATGTTTATAGCGGCACAGTTTGTAATACCTAAAACTTGGAAACAGCCCATTTGCCCATCAGTTGGAAACTGGATAAAGAAGATGTGGTTTTTCTATAAAATGGAATACTACTCAGCCAGCCATAAAGAATGAGAAATTAGATTCATTCATAGGAAAATGGATACGTATTGAGGATATACTCCTAAGTGAAATAAATAAGTCACACATGTGTAAATACCAAATAGTTTCTCTGGTGTGAATAAACTATAATAGTACATAAGATCCTAATGATATAATTGACAATGTGAAATAGGAAGAAAAGGGCTAAAGGTGTAGGGAAAATGGGAAGGGTAGGGGAAAAGTAATAAGGGAAAAGAAAAAAATATGAGAAAATGAAAAAATGGAAATAAAGTGTTTGTAAATGGGGAAGGGAGGAGGGGGTGAAGGGAGGGCAGGGACAAGGGGAAAATAATGAGAACCAAGACCTGTCATGTAAAGGTACAAGATCCCAATAATGAACGTAATTGTACTGTATACCTTAAATGTACCAATAAACTCAATAAAAGGGGGAAAAAACCCCAAAAATGTCACTTCCACTTGGGTGTACAATAGGAAACACCTACACCCCTAAATATAAGTGGTCTGCTTCTAGAATTCAGTCTTTAGTAAATATCTCTAACTAGATGTTACATTTTATGCTTTCAGCATTTCATCCTGCTTCCTTAGTGTTGTTCTTTCCTTCACGGACAAACATGAGGGTAACTCACCTTAAAAACTAATGATTATGCACATGAGTATGACTTATTAACTCAGAATAACTAAACATTTCTGTACTAGTCTTAACTATTATTACACCTTCACTTTCAATTTTTCAGTAGTTTAAAAAACATCAGATAGCTGTAACTGCTCTGCTGCACAAAAATATCAGTAATGCAGGCAACAATGAACCACAATGGCCCACCATAGAAGAGCCTAAAGTATGTGTTCATCAGTGGTTGCTTAAATTCAGGTTCAGTTTAGCAAAGACAGGAGTGTAACTGCAAAATGTAGGTCAGAAGCCTGCCTATATAATCCACTCGGGAAGCACTCTTCAATAAATAAAATGCACAGGCTTCTCATTCCTTCCCTGGTCTATGCCAAGCCAGTAAAATTTCACTGCATACCTCTACTGTGTGTAGCTTAACTGTTTAAATCTGTACTACTTTGCCAGGGATTTAACTCAGAGGTTCTACTGCCTGCAGCAAAAGCGTAAGGATCCGAGTTCAATTTCCAATACCAAAAAATTAAAAAATAAAAAATAAATCTACACTATTTGCACAAAATTATGCACATACTTACTTGAATAGTTGCAGATTAAAGTTTTCAAAAGAACAATACTACAAAAAAGTATACATTAGACACTTACACACTTTCATACTACATCCTTGATTAGCTGCTTCAAAAACACACACTGAGGGGCCAGGGATTTAGCTCAGGGGTGCCACGCAAGTGCAAAGTCCTGAGTTCAATCCCCAGTACCAAACAAACAAACAAACACATAAAAACACACAGTGAAAAGAACTCAAACTCCTATAAATGAGTTGGTCGGATGAACAATTTATAAAGTTAACTCTAAAAATTCTACTTCCTTTGACATTCAGAAACAGATCCTGGTCCTTAATTTGCTATGGACAATCAGTGTTCCCTGGCTTAGTTTTTCCTCTATGGATCAATCCTGTACTTGTGATGTTAAATTTGTGCAACTTATGAGGCAAACCTAAATGACTTAGTTTGTCTAAATTTCCAGTTTATATCGACATAAACCATCTAAAATCAACTGTAAAAAGCATGAAAATAACACTGTTGTGAACAATATATTTATACTTATTTCTGAGCATATTAGCTAATTTATTTAGCTGTGTCTTTGCCAGTTGCTTACCTATTTTTTTATCTTTTTTGTTCATAACAAGTTGATGTAGACGTTCTTTTAATTTATTATATTCACGCTCTTTTCTTTTCATATCATGATTGTACTGAGTAGCTCGACTTGCAATGATATTTTGTAATTTTTGTACCTGAAAAAAATTTTTTCTGTCAAATGAGGATAAGCCCAGTTAAAATTCACAAATTCATCTTCCCAGATAATAGTTTAAAAATTCTAGGATGATTCTTCCTTCAGTGGAAACTACTTTTTAAAATATCACTACACAAATCATAGTTTTTATTTTTTATTCTAAACCAGGCATGGTGGTGCACGCCTGTAATCCCAGCACTCAGGAGGCTGAGGGAGGAGGATCGCTGTGAGTTCCAGACCAGCCTGGGTTACAGGGTGTTCCAGGGCAGTCTCAACTATACAGTGAGACACTGTCTCAAAAAATAAACAAAAAATTTAATTCTAAATTTTCTAATTTTAATTCTAAATTTATCTTCTATACTTTTACCTTTAGAAACTCTTATGGAAGTATTAAAATGATTAAAGCTTTATCTGAAATAAATAGGATTCATCAGTCATTTCGAATGACCTTCTCATACTGTCATCTTGCAATCACTTTTAGGGTATCAGGGACTAACTACAAAGTGTAGTAGCCAGTGGCACACAGCAGCATTTGTACGCTTTGTGCCCAGGGTCATTTCTCTCTGACCAACATCTGCTGAGTGCCTACTTAAGTGTCAGGTACTGTTGTCCAAAATTTATATCTACTGTGGCTTCACAGACAGCTCTTGACAGGAAGTACATTTTATCCTATGTAGGTAGCCATTCCCAATACCTGCTAGAGATTAATATTAACTTATTCCTTCCCAAAGGTGAACTGTATTCAAATTAACTATACTGAAGTATAATCAGCAGTTCAAGTAAAAATGTAATATGAAATAACTCCAGGAAATATGTATAAGCAACTTTATGGTTTGGTAAAGATATTAATTACCCACTTATTAAATATACTCCTGCATAATCCAATATGGTAAAGTAAGTCTCTCTAAATTACTAAGGGTTTTTAAAGAAATACAATCCCCTAAATGTCTCTTAGTTAAAACATATAAAACACTGAAAGTAATGTATTTTTATAGTTATTACAGACAGGGATCATATTACACAGCAATAAAATTTCTTCTTAGATACACTACAAAATATTTTCAAATGCATTAACCCCTTAGTTCCACGTAACTAGTAAAGAAAAGTTGGTATTATGCCAAAAGATGTCACAATTCTAAGTTAGCATCTTTGCCCCAGAAATGAGATTTTTAAAATGAATTGCTCCTGTGCTCATTTAGTCAAATAATTGCTCGCCTACAGGAACAATGTCACTGTTTATTGAAAGAAGGCATAAAGCAGGCAGGGGATGCATAACAGTAGTAGACCGTCCCTAGCATGGGCAAGGCCTTGGGTTCAATCCCTGACACCACAAAACTAAAACAAAAACCAGACTGGCATGCCAGGGACCAAGTATAGGTACAGCAGAGAAGCAAAAATCTGCACCAAGAGAAAGTGCACGAGCATGTGTTCAGTAAGGACGGCTGGTGCGGGCCGCTGGTGTTACCAGCTATGGACTGATTTACAGAATGGATCCTGGGGGCACGGACGGGGAGGCAGAGAGCTGTACTAAAGAAGGTTCCTCATTTCCCAGTTAAATATGACACAGCACCGTTCTTGGAGGTCCACCAAACCAATGCGATACAGCATGAGTAAGTTTTGTTTAAGTGACTCTTACCACATATTACAAAAAAAAAAAAATCCCCACACAAATTGACTTAAACTTTATGCTCAATAAAACTCACCTCATCCTTTTCATTTTTCAGTAGCTGATGCAAATTCCTGTTCTTGCACTGTAACTGTCTGTCTCTCTCCTGAAGCCCAATAATCTCCCTCCTGGAATTTTCCAGTTGTTCCTAAAATATCCATATGTCAATCCAATTAAAATGAACATAGAATTTGCAACGATTAAATTCTATTTTTCCCCCCTAGATTCTGGGGAACAGATAAATTTTTAAAAGACCAGTAACAAGATGTTACACATACTAGTTTGTTAGTTAAAATCAAAGTTCAATGGCACGAGAAAAGGCGAAGCAGTTACTACAGAGCTTAACACTATAAAATTAAATCTACATAGCAAATTTTATAACATTTAAATACCAAATTTTGTGTCAAAAGGATTCCTTTGAAGCTCACCCCCTAGCTTAACACTATAAAATTAAATCTACATAGCAAATTTTATAACATTTAAATACCAAATTTTGTGTCAAAAGGATTCCTTTGAAAGGCTCACCCCTTATTCTTTTTTTTTTTTTGGTGTTTTTGAGACAGGGCCTCACTATGTAGTTGAAACTGACCTGGAACTCACTATGTAGCTCAGGCTGGTCTTGAACTCGCAGCGATCCTCCTGCCTCAATGCCTCAGCCTCCCGAGCGCTGGGATTATAGGCGTGCGCCACCACGCCTGGCTGGCTCACCCCTTATTCTATAATGCTGCCATTGAATATATTTAAAATTTCTTTTAAAGACTTTTTTAGTATTTTTTTATTAGTGCATGTTTGCAGTACATGTTACATTTCTTATGCGGAGTTGGGTATATGTACATAACCCATCTTCATTCCTTTTTCATCCTCTTTCCTTCCCCTCCCTTCCCCCACCCTCCATCTCTTGATCCCCTTCCCATCTGACAAAGAGCTATCTCCCTACTTCCTATTGTTTTATTTTGTTCTTTATTTATAGTGTGGGCTTCTCAGATAAGAGAACATGTGACATGTAACTTTGTGTCTGACTTATTTCAATTAACATTATGGTCTCAAGACCGTAATACTTCTATAACACCCCTTTGAAGATCTCCTCAGCTACTGGAACACTGCAACATCATCCCTCCCTTGAGAGCGAGTTTGACTTTGAGAAAGAGTCAAACATGACTGGGAGCCAAGTCTGCAGAAGGGTGGGAACACTAGCTGCGGCACTATTTTAGTTCAAGTCCAAAACCTCTGCAACAGTCTGTTCACAGCCGTCCTCACTGCCAAGCTGAGACCCTACACCTCCACCCCAAGTGCACTTCCCCGCCCCCAGTAATTCTTCAACTTGGAGCCCAAATGTACCTCTTCTATTCCTCCTCAGTACCTCCGACTTTCTGTACTAGGTAAACTTTGACATTATGTGGAGCATGTGTCCCGCCTGACTTCTTACTATTCATCTTCACATTTTACACACACCAGTCCCTAGAGAGCTGTGTGCAACTCCCTGGGAGTGCAATGTTTTCTCACACGTGCTTTTATACAAATTAAATACTCTGCGTGAATGTCTTTTCCAAGTGCTATTTCAATTTATTGTTCAAATCATAGAAGAAGAATTAATTACCTTTCTGTGAGACTTTCACCTCCTACACCAAGAATTATTAAGGAAGAAAATAATTATGGCTCAATGTGTCTCATTCTACTAGACTGCAATCTCCTCACATGCTGGGACTAAGGTTTCACTCATCTTTGAAACCCAGGTCCTACAACATAAATACTCAATATTGGTTGAGTTAAACGAATCATATGGTAGATCTAGAAACTTTCAAGGCTAGATCATTGACTTTCCACAGTGAATACACATTTCTATCCAAAGATGAGCCAAAATAAGAGATTCTGGCCCAGGTTAAGACCAAAATTAGAAGATACTCTAAAAAAAAAAAAAAAAAGCTTTAAAAAAATTCTATGTTCTGGGTAGTCCTAATAAAAAGATCACTCCTTAGAGAAAAGTCACAGAGGCTCCAGCTTATCACATCAGGATATGATCACTCACTGGCTACTTGTAAGACTTGGTGAAGTGGGCGCAGGAGTAAAAATACTATCGTCTAGGTTTACAACCCTGGATCAGCTTAATCCACAGTTGGACCCTCCACTGGTGTCTCTGGTTTGGATGAATGCAGAATCCACGATCACAGGCTTAAGGTCCTAATCTCCCCTCCAGCCCACTACAGTGCCCCAGTCAACCAGGAAACACAACTGGAATCTCTATCCCCGAGGCATTCTGGATGTACAAAAAACCAAGACATGATTAAAGAGAAAATACACTGCTACCAATTGTATATGAACCAAGAAAACAATATAAGTAGCACTAGGTAGCGACAGACTGGAAGTGCCAGGTGCCACTGAGCAGCTAAGGTTCTTCTCTACATTGTGCTCTAATGTTCACAGTGTTCCCATTAGTGCGACTCTATGCCACTTCTATTTTATGACAAACTACCTACTGGACTTTCAAATATTACATACAGAGATCCTATTATTCTCTTGTGGAGATCAGTGACTCAAAAACCCTCAGTTTTTGTTTTTTTTTTTTTAATTTTCTCTTCCTGGGAGGGTTGAGGTAGGGAGGGGAGAGGATATATATACGCATCCTTCCTTTCATCCTTCAAATTATAGCAAGAAACAGGCATGGAATAACAAGGTGAAAACTAAAAGGAAGCTGACTTCCTTCGAGTATGTAAAGAACAAAGCCTTTGATTCTCACAAATAAAAAGACCCAATATATACTAGTATATTTAGGAAAACATCAGGCATGAATTATATCACACCCTTAATAATATACAACCACAATATACATTCTTATCATACAAGAATTTAAAAGGAAAACTTTCAAACACTTTGCTCCTCTCCTGAAGTTTTTGTTTTAAAAAAAGAAATTATAATAGAAAATTAAAAAAAGAAAAAGAAAACAGCAATAAATGTTCTACATCTAAATACAGCAGATCCTGTGAAAGTATTATACTTTTTTCAGACAAAAGTTAAATAATGCATTTTACACAGTCTTTTCTAGAACTTTAGGGACTTCTTACAGGTCTTACCCAGCCTGTTTTCACTACTGAACTTTGATTTAAAAAATCTTAGAAAAGGCTGCATCATTTAATTTTAAGAAAAATACTCTTAAGCAAAACAGAAGGGTAGGTAAACCCTTATTGTATTTTCCTCTGCATGTAAATATTTCCTAATTAATTTTCAACAGATTCAGCAAATTATTAAGTTTATAAAATCAAGGCCTTCAATATAGATATTTGAAAGTAATACAATTGGCAAGTACAAATTACTTTTATGTTTACTTGTAGCAGGTTTTTTGTTTTTTTTGAGACAGGGTCTCACTATGTAGTTGAGACTGACCTGAAACTCACTATGTAGCCCAGGCTGGTCTCAAACTCCCAGCAATCCTCCTGCCTCAGCCTCCCGAATGTTGGGATTACAGGTGTGCACCACCACACCTGGCTGTAGCAGTTTTTTAAAGAGGCTTTTATTTGATAAAGTCAATGAATACTTGCAGCACTGAGTTATACAATAATGCAGTTGAAATACAATTGATATGAAATTTCTGGGCCGATGATTTGGCTCAGTGATTCCACTGCCTGTCTCACAAGTGTAAGGGCACGAATTTGATCCCCAGTACCATAAAAAAATAAAAAAAAATGAAATTTCTACCTTAAGTTTTGCATAGCAGCTCTGAAGATGGTCCATATCACTTCCGAGTTTCAGATTCTGTGTTTCCACATTTTCCTGAGCGAGAAGGTTCTTCCGCTGAAGTACAAGTAGCTCATTCATACAATTTAAAACAGCAACTATATTTAATTCTCTCTTTGCTTCTTTGCTTTTGGGTTCTTCGTACAATGAAGGAAACCCGAAAGTAGTCAATTCCTAGTAGGAGAAATGTTTTTTTTTTAAAGTTGGTGTCCTTGGGAAGATGTTGGTCAAAGGATACAAAATTTCAGTTGACAGGAAGAGTACATTCAAAAGAGCTATTGTACAGCACTGTGATTATCACAACTAACAATGCAGGCTGTGCTGAGAGTAGATAGATTTTAAGTATGAAGTATGCATATTTCTCTTAACCACCTCTTTTGTGCTATTCTATAATGTACATTTTAAAACATGATATACACAATAAATATATACAAGTTTACTTGTCAATTAAATATTTAAAATAAGTTAATTTTTTTAAAAGTTGGTTATCAGACAACTTGTAAAGGAACAATAGACAGGAATCTTTTCTGAGAGAAACGGAAAACCTGCCCAAGATTGTTAAGAAGATACTATCTCAAAGAACAACAAGAAAAATTTAAAAACTGGGTTCTGTCTAGACTCTACTCTTATAGAAGAGCCTGGGATAAAGGGAAAGCCAACTTGCTCCAAACAGAACTTGTATTACATCCCGAGGTTTTCTGCAAACCTGTCTCAGGCCAATGCATACTATATTTGTGCCCGACACAGGTAACCTTGATATGATGTGTTCGATCATGTAACATGACTTTCATCAGTGCTTCTTTAAAAAACATTACCTGATCAAGATATGAAATACTTTGTTCAATATTCTCTTCCGTGCAAAAGGCACTAAAAAAACTGTGTACATTTTTTGATAAAGGTATTGAAGAACATAGCACTTGCTGTAAGTATAAACTTGATGGAGACATCTTTGTTTCTGAGGTATATTGAGAGATGTTTTTGCTTTCTGAAAAAGTCAATAAAAAGTACTCATATAATTTATAAAAATACATGTGAAACTAAAAATCTCTATTACCAAAGATTTTATGTATCATATACATATACATACATATATTTTTTAAAATTTATTTTTTAAAAATTAGGACAAAGCCTTTTTTTCTTTCTTTTTTGAGACAGGGTCTCACTATGTAGTTGAGACTGACCTGGAACTCGCTATGTAGCCCAGGCTGGTCTTGAACTCACAGCAATCTCCTGCCTCAGCCTCCCAAGTGCCGGGATTACAGGGTGCGCCACCACACCTGACATTGGACAAAGCCATTTTTAAATGATAACCTTTTTTCCCCAAAAAGACACAAATGAAGTGGTCTTCTTCGTAGGCATATTAGGTGCCAAGATACCTTAACTTCCACTAGTTTAAGTTTATAAACATAGTACAGAAAACACATTTGTCTATGTCATTCAAAGTTCCTATGAATAAATTTCAAATGTATAAAAATTTTACTCGAAAATTGTAAAAAATCAAGCAATCTATTCATCCATCCATAGCACTGAACCACACTACTCATGGCACATTTGGAGTTCTTCTCTAATTATTTCCCTGAGGGAGAAAATTAGGTATTGCATAACTATTTATGTTGTTCTTTAGTCATACCTTCAATATTTGTGCCATACCAAGTTTACTGAGAAATTCACCTTTACATTTACTACAGTGGTTTCCAGTTATTTTAGACTCTGTTACCTGCACACAGAGCTGGATCTGTAATAGTCATCCAATCTCCCATAGCAATTTCCAGAGCCAGGGTTCCTGAGGAACTAGTTCAGCACTGAGACATATAGTCGGCTGCTGTCACTCTTCTATGCAGGCATCTCCTTAAAAGCAAATGACAGAGTAACTGCATCTAAATGCAAGCAAACAAAGAAAACCAATGTGTAAGAATTTGGTGCATGCTTCAAAACAGGAGGATCTTGCAATATTTATTACCATGCAGATATGGCATATAATAAAGCTTAAGAATTATATGCATGTATAGGTATAAAATATATAAGGGTCAAGCTTAGAGGCCTCCCAAGTTCTATCAGAGTATTCACATCACTTCACACATAACATCGCACCCGATCTGACTCACAACACTAATCTAAGGTACAGTACTGCACTAAATAATATTTCTATCATATATCCTTTAGTACACTGGTGCCCAACCTTGTGGCTTGCCTGGGCTGCACAGCATGAAGAAGAACTGTCCTGGACCACATGTAAAACATATACTACAATTAATGAGTATAGGTAACAAAATTTCCTTTATTTTTATATTTTTTATTGTAACACTGAAGTAAAATAACACAACAAACCTATGTTCAATAATTAAACATCTATCTTCCCAGGCACATGCACATGCAGGGAGGATGAAATATTGCTGCTGGTAATCCCTGTCTGCCCTTGTCCAGCTGCACAAGAACACTTCCTATCTGATACGGATAGGCTTTGATCTGCGTGGGAGGACAGGAGGCAGAGGCAGCACTGCACCACACCTCCCCACAGAGCGCTCCTGGGTCACCTGCACAGCACGCAGTTGAGCCCCGCACAATCACATAATGAAAAACAGCTTTAAACATCACAAAATGTTAAAGAGTTTACGATCTTGTGAGGCCACATTACCAACTGTGCAGGGCTGCATGCTGCCCTGTCCACTGCAAGTTAGGTATGCCTTCTTTAAAACAAAGTACAATTCTCATTTATGTAGTCAGGAAGATGACAAAGTTATGGCCCAGAAATCTTTTTTTCTCTATTATATTAGCAAAGCTTTTCATTTAAGTGATAATACATAGTGTTGGCACAGATGTAAGGAAATGAATATTCACACACACTGCTATTCAGATAACATCAATTTATATTACCAAGCACTTTTGGTAATACGTACCATAAGTCTTCAAAATAAATATCATCTTCTCACTTCTAAAATTTCATTTTCATTCTAAGAAAACAGTGTACATAGAGTCATCTACAGGTTATTCTTTACAATAGGAAAAAAAAAGGAAACATGTTCCATAGTAGAAAATTAGGTAAATCCATGATACATTTATATACTGTATGGACTTTACACAAAACTATGTGGACTTAGGGTGGAAGAAGTATTTTTTAAAATAAAACTATGAAGAACTGCAAATACCTAACAGGCCTGAAATATAAATGAAGGGAACTAAGTATGAGATATAACTGTTGCCATCTACCACTCCTAGTTCCACTTTTTAATAGAAATAATGGAAGAGATAATATTTCTCCATCATAAGAAAAGAAGTTGCAAGTGCCAACTGTCAACTGATTACAAGGTCAAAGAAGGAGGAGGGAAGGAACTGGTGACCACCTGCCAACTCTGGACAGCTGCTCTTCAGCTATAGCAAGAGAGAAAGCAGGGCCTGGGGTGACAGATCTTAGAAGTTTTAAGGACACTGGAATTCTGGGCTTTTATGTGAAGTATCCCTATTTGTAAATATTAGAAACTAATTAAAAATATTTAATTCTATGCAAGTTATCCTATGGGAACCAGGAGAGATGGGAAGAAGATATGAAGCCGAGTGGGTGCCAGAAATGCTCTCCGTCTTGCCCTGAGATGGTTACAGGTTATACACACTTAAGGTCCGTCCTTAACTACTGATATTAAACCTACCAGTTTAATGACTTTTCTGACTTAAGACTGAGGCACACTGTTCAGAATTAAGACACACCGTTCAGACTTAAGACACACCGTCTTTTTTGTATTGCACACCTTGTTTATACAGTACTGTAATTTTTGCTGATTGCACTATACAGTATAGTACTATAATTTTATGTTGTTACATTACAGTACTGCAGTAAGTTATACAAATAAAAGCAAAGTCTTCAACTTGAGGAGTTTCCTTTGACCATGTCTTTGTTCTGAATATTGTAATGTACACACTATATACAATCCTTGATTTAGTGACTAATTCATTTAACAACTTAGTTGCAGGATCAAAACTTGGTCCTAGAACCAGGAATGTCTGTATGAGCTACAGCTCCAAACAATAACACTATATTACAAGCCAAATAAAATGTCTCTTTAGGCCAGGCCACTGAAGATGAAGTGCTTACAACCTCTGTTTGAATACTTAATACTGTTGGAAAATATTCACAATATGATGAATGTTTCTACTCATTCAATTACACTGAGCTCCCACTGTGTACAAGACATTTTTCTAGGCCCAAGAAAAAGAAGTTTTGCTGTCAAGAAGTTCAGTATCTGGTGAGGGTAGCTAAAGATACTAAAGCAAGCAATAAATTAACACTTAGCATGAAGAACCCCATGATACTATAATATGACAGAGTGTTGGTTGAGAAGAGGTACCTAGACTGCTCAGGGAAGGCTATTATGACACGGTGACATCTGCACCGAGACCTAAATGAGCCAAGTTCAACACAAGGTAATCAACGCCTAGAGTAGCATAAGTAGTAAAGACAGCAGGTATAAAGACTTGAAATGGAAATGAGCTTGCTCAGTATGAAAAACATAAAGAAAACCAGTGTGTTTGAAGCACAGTAAGCAAGGCTACAGGGTAGGAAATTGGATTTCTCTGAACTGTAGTGAAATGTTGAAGGGCTTTGGCTTTAGGCACAAAAGTAACAATTTCCTTTATGCTTTAAGAAAGATGACTCTGGCTTGGCTGTATCGCAGAGTAGGTGGGCATGTAAAGGCTGCTACAGATAAGGAAGCTACTGCAACAGTCCTGGCAAGACAAAGGTTGTTGCACTATGGTTCCAACAGAGGAGGCAGAAACAGGTGGAAAAATTAGGGATGTGTTCTGGAGAAAGAACCTTCAGCATTTGAAGATGGATTAAAATGTGGGTGAAAGAGGAATCAAGAACGATTTCTGTAGGTCACAGAGCAGTGCACAATATAAAGCAATGTTAGGCATCATTTTCCATGCATGAAGGCTGTTACCCAGTTTGGCACTGATCTCTTGCTGGTTTTCTACTTGTTCTCTGGTAAAGAAAGACAATGAACTATTTTGCACTTCCCACTGTACTTAAACAAATGCTTTCAGTAATAGGATGAACAGCATAAAGACACAGTCTGCACAAAGTTAGAAAAATATTAATTTTACTGTTGGCCTTAGAAATATAGTAGAAGAGAATGCAAGAAGCAAAGAATCCACCTACTCTAACAGCTTTGGGTAAATCATCTGACCTCCCTGAGCCCTACTTTCCTCACTGGTAAATTTTAATAGCAACACTTTGTAAGATTCCTCCAATGGTTAAGTGCAATAATGCATAAAGACTTTAGTATACTGCTTGGCATATGGGAAAAATATTATTAATATTACTTACTATCATCATCTAGTCATAGGGCTGTTTGGTACAAATGACAGGATACTAACAGATGTAACAAATGGCACCATTACTCTTAATGAAAGTTGGACACAGATACTTAGAAGATTAGAAATAAACATTTTTATAAAAATACATTATGTACTGGGCTAATTCTTTGTAATCAATAGCTTCAAGGGGAAGATCAAGATCAGAAGGAACACATAGGTATTTTTCCAAGATCTTTTTGTTCTTTTATTCTTTTGTTAAGGTACTTATAAGACAACAGTGCACAACATATCTGTTCTCCTTTGACAGAAAGACTAAAGGCCAAAATGTGTCTATTTCATATCCATTCTTCAAAAATGTAACTTAAGTCACTTACTCTTTGTGAGCTTTTTAGTGCCTTTTTTATTTTGTACCGGGGATGGGACCTGGGCCCTTGTGCTTGTGAGGAAGGCTGAGGAACCACTGAGCCAAATCCCCAGCCCCTGTCCCCTGTACTATTATATACACCCAAAAATCAAGAAGCTAAAGTGTTGCATTCTATATCAATCATAGCTAAAATTTCATTGTTGAAAGTTGCAAACTATTTTTATGAAGATGTAAAATAATCAAATTAATTTAAAAGTAAAAGAAAGGTGGCAAAAGCATGTATACTTTGCATAAACCTAATACATACCATCAAAATCCCACTATAACTTCAAAGCTTCAAAAGCAACCTAAGAGTCCATTACAAACCAGGTACTGGGACAGGAGTTCACACTGTAGATCCCATCAAGTCAGCAAAATATTAAATAGTGGATGTGATTATTCATGAAAAATCATGTGTGAACAAATCTGCTTATATTAAATTTCACTCAGAGCATACAATTTGTACTGGAATTTACTGAGACCCACTTGTACAATTTATCTTTGCTTTGCTAGTTTCTTTCTCATTTATAAATACTTTTCTATCTTAACAGTATATATTAATGTAACATATAAACTAAGCTTATGGATTTTTAGCAAAAATGTTTGAGGATCTTCTTAATTTAACTGTTTTTTTTCCCCTATCAAAAAAAGTTCCTTAGCTAGTTCTTTCCACACCAGAGGTTTAAGCTCTTAATATACTGATCATCAATCACACATTGAGCTCTGGGACAGGCAGCCTCTAACATGACTCCAGTTATTCTTTGCCTTGGGTTACTCTTACCCTTCAGTATAGGCTGGATTTACTGACCAGCTTCTAACAGAATACAGCAGAAGCAATGGGATTTCACTTTGAAGATTAGGTTATAAAAAAGCTGCAGCTTCCACAGAAGATTGTTTCATTCAATGTCTCTTAGATCCCTCTCCCTGGAAAGCAGGCCAAGGCGTTGTGAGTAGTCCTGCCTCCAGTGAGACAGAAACACAGATCTGTAGCAAACAAAAGCCTGCTTGAGAGCTGTGTGAGTGAATCTGGAAGTGCACCTCACCTTGGTCAAACTAAATGCCAGCAGCTTCGGCCAACATCTGGCTGGCGGTCTAGTGAAAGACCCTGAGCCAGAGGCACTGAGCTAGGTAGTACCCAGATTCATCGCTCAGAAATGGTGAGAT